CTATTAAATACAATAAATACACAATTTAGTAATGATTTACGTGAAAATTATTAACATTTCAATTCAGTAAAAATCATAAAACAAATAAGTCGTCTAAATTCAAACAACATTATGCTAATAGCGTTGATAAAGAAACTCTCCACTCGAAGGTAAAATACCAAAAACGGGTATTATATATAATATTATGTTGTCATGAATTCGTAGATACATTTTGTCGTACTATTTTAAAATGCACTTGTCCGCGTCCGCGTCCGCTTAAATATAACCTATATTAGGTAAAGTTATTTCTGCACCAATAAATATACGTATCGAATGAAAAACATGAAAACAAGAATTTAGTTCTAAATCAAGTACTAAACCAATTTTGTTTAGTTTTTACTTGCAACGGGAAACTCAAACAACGTGCGCGATTTTGCTATGCAATTAAAACTTTGCGAACAAAATTTGTCAAGACCTTTGCTTCCTATCTTTTGTGTAACAAATACTTATTTATTTAAAAATTATGTGTATGATGTATGGTTTAAATATATTGTTGATTATTTTTTTTGACAGTTCTCTGTATTGTTGGGACATTGTTGAGGCATTGTTGTTGAGGGAACCTACAGCGAATTACAGCGATAATTTTTTGAAAATTTTCTCTGGTAGTTGCTATATATAAAAAACAAATTAAATCTTAATTAAATGTTGTTTTATTCATTATGAAATTCTTATTTGTTAACTGTACATGGTGCAATTCTATTGGCCGACATTTGGGACGGAAAAATAATCCCCCGAATACCACACGAGCTTCAAAATTATCTGGCATTTCCCTCAAGGTTCCCTGCAAACAAATAAAGTCGTCAAGTTTTTCAGGAAAAATCACTCGCGCTTCGCGCTCATGATTTTTTAACCTGAAAAACTTGACTCCTTCATTTGTTTGCAACGAACCTATCGGGAAAAATACCCGATAATTTTGAAGCTCTTGTGGTATTATAAGTGACAATTCTTGAAATTGAACAATGCTATGGAGCGCCACCAGATGGCGCTCGCGTTGCGAAAACCCGAAGCTTCTTTAGCGTATAGGAAAAAATGACGCTAAAAGATAAAGAATGGTAAATTAAAATGGCCGTAAAAAATATAATCTAAAACTAGCATTAAAACCCTGTAATTAAGCACTCACGTGGAATTGACATTATACGCTCGAAAACAATGAACAAAGTAAGCTTTTGTTACACTACTTTAATAATAAAAAATTTGATTCATTAGTGAAACAATAAAGAAGAAGAATGTTAATTAACCCCTTTATCAACTTGCCCCTCTAATTGGTTACAATAAATTACAGGTATTTTTTTACATACAGATGATATAGTAGAGGATCCCAAGTAAGGTCGACCTTCACCCATCTGCTTACCAGATGAAAATTATATTTTATCAAATAAAATATGTTTCTGAACATAAACCAATAGGGTTGCCATAAAAAATATGATCAAGGCTAGCTATAATAAATAAAAAATTAAAAAAAAAATAATTAATTTTTTAAATTTCACCGACTTGCTTGCCAAATGAACGAAATTCTAATGGAAAGCATACAACATACAGAATATGTAACAGCTAGGTTGCCTACCTTTTTCTGGTCCCTATTACCTGGTTGCTTTGTACAGGGTGATCCTCTATAATGTCGCCCCCCTTTAACTTTTTTATTTTAAGTGTCCCAAAAAATTTAAAAGTTTGGTTATGTAGGTACTAAAAAATACTTTTTTTCTACGTATAAAGAAAATTGGAAAATTGATCAGTATACAGGGAAAAACAAAAAGTTTATTTTTTTTTAATGGATCACCGTATATATGAATTTATTTTTCGATTCCTTGTAAAATTCTGAGCATAATTTATATAACAAACCATATAACTAAATTCAACCGTTTCTGAAATATTCACATTCGAAATGTCATCATTAAATGTTTTTTTAAACTGTTAGAAATCAAGAAGCCTCAGTTTACCAAAATTTTTATTGAAAATAAATTACTATAGTGACATTATGTCAATAAGTGTTGTTAAATAAGTAAAAATGGCGTACTCAGACAGAGAAAAACAAACTATTTCAACTTATTATCTTAAAAATAATTTAAATATTTCAGAAACGGTTGAATTTAGGTATATGGTATGATATATGAAATATGCTTAGAATTTTACAAGGAATCGAAAAATAAATTCATATATAGGGTGATCCATTTGAAAAAAATAAACTTTTTGTTTTCCCTGTATAATTTTCCAATTTTCTTTATACGTAGAAAAAAAGTATTTTTTAGTTCCTACATAACCACACTTTTAAATTTTTTGGGACACTTAAAATAAAAAAGTTAAAGGGGGGCGACATTATAGGGGATCACCCTGTACAAAGCAACCAGGTAATAGGGACCAGAAAAAGGTAGGCAACCTAGCTGTTACATATTCTGTATGTTGTATGCTTTCCATTGGAATTTCGTTCATTTGGCAAGCAAGTCGGTGAAATTTAAAAAATTAATTATTTTTTTTTAATTTTTTATTTATTATAGCTAGCCTTGATCATATTTTTTATGGCAACCCTATTGGTTTATGTTCAGAAACATATTTTATTTGATAAAATATAATTTTCATCTGGTAAGCAGATGGGTGAAGGTCGACCTTACTTGGGATCTTAGACTAATACATCCTTACATAAATATAATTTAATTTTTAAGCGTTCTATAATTTAAACATTATAATTCTCAACCCCCACTAGAAAAATATTTGATTATCGCCTAGGCTGAACAAATAATTTAGACCAATTGGGTAAATTGTTTTACCTAGTCTGTAAAAAAAACGTTTATCCAACAAAAAATTCGAAGAATGTCAGATAAACCCAACCTCCATTAATAATTATTATTACCCATAATTTTATGTTTTATGTATCATTTCAAAAAATAAAATTATGTCTTAAAGATAAAACATTGTATGCCATTTGGCTAAGAAGTGTAAACCTTGAGCTCAGTACAAAAAGACTCACTTTTTAGAATTATAAGATAAATAAACATATTTGGAATTAAATTTTAAAGGCAAATAATCCCAAAAACCCTAGAAAACAATACAATTTGGGTCAAATTATTTCTTCAAAAGAGGTAATTTTTATTTAATTTTTGAATTATTTCTGGGACAAAATAACATGTGGCGCTTATGAAGAATGGTTGATTAATGAACTCGAATTCTTGCCAAGCGGGTTTAGCTTGCGTATCAAACGAATGCTCGTTCATTTCACTTCAGGAACAATATACTATTAATTAATAAGGGAAAGTATATATTTTTTTATGTTTGTAATTTAGGTTTTATAATTTCTAATCAATTTTCTTAAAAAATATAATTAAACTTGTTTTTGTGTTATAAAACCATCCAGATTTGCTATTAACAAAAAATCTGCAAAACTTATTAGCCAATAATACAATGAATAATTATGCTGTTAAATGTCGGTTGTATTCCCTCCTTAAATTTTAAGCAATTTGATTGGTTGCTTGAAAAAAAAATAATAATTTCGCTGTAACATTTTAAATTTATTTAGAAATATTATATTTATAAAATACAATAATAATTAAATTAATCGGTTTTATTCTATAATACGAGGTGTGTTCAGAAAATATCGGAAATTTTCGTTTTTTAAAACAAATATTTATTTATTCGTGTACATTAATGTTGTCGCCTTCAAAATAGTCCCCATTGGATATTATGCACATGTGCCAGCTCTTCTTCCAATACTCGAAACACTTCTAAAACTCGATCTTTGGGATAGCCTTTAGTTCTTTGAGCGATGCGCTTTTAATGTCATCTATGCTTGCAAAACGCCGGCCTTTTAAGGTTCTCTTTATTTTTGGGAATAGGAAAAAGTCAGACAGAGGCATGTCTGGCGAATATGGAGGCTGGGGCATCATTATACAGTATTGTTTTTGGCCAAAAATTTTGTTTAAAATTTAAAAATTTTAGAACAAATTTTGCTGCCACGCGTTTCATACCCAAAACATTCGAAAAAATTTCATGGGATGAGCCAATCGATATACCAACATCATCAGCGACTTCCCTGATATAACCATTTCATCCACTTTTTCCATGTTTTTATCGGTTGTTAATGTGCTTGTACGTTCGGGGCGTTCGTCATCTTCAACGTCTTCACGGCCATCTTGGAAACTCTTATACCGCTTGTAAACTCTTGTTTTACTTATAGCAGACTCACTATAGGCCTTTGTTAACATTTCACAGAATTTATTTCATTTTTTAAGCAAAATTGGATACAAATTCGAAAAATCGCCGAGCTCATAAAACACGTCTAACCTTAGCGGCTGCCACAGACAAAGTAAACAATGAAAACAGCTAAAGTTTTTATCATACTTCGGGGGCATGTATACCAACATTATAAAGAAAATTTTATGACAACCGGACCCTCTGAACCCGCGAAATTTAACAATTCCCGTTATTTTTTGAACACTCCTCGATGTTACTAAACTTGTTGTTTTGGATAATACAATAAAAAATCATCGCTTAATGTTTTTTTTTTAAGTTTAACATTTTAAGTCAGTTGGACATGACATAGGTCATGGCGTTTTACTGACTACTATAGTCAGCAAAACGCAGTGACTAGCTGATATTATTTTGATTATTAATTTAATTATTTTTAAATGCACTTATGCTGTAATTTGTACCAAATTTAAACCTTCTAGGATGACATTTTTTGAATAGCAAATACATCGGAATTAATATTTTACATTTTTTAATAGCCCAATTAGGAAGGAATCTTATATTTAAAATAAAAAGTACTCAAATTATTTTTTAAGTTAACAGATTATATGACCAATAAAAAATAAAATTTTCGCACAAAGGTTTCGGAAGTAAACGTTTAAGTGTAATTGCATATACCTGGACTATGCTCGTCCTTCTTATCGCCAACTTTGCAGTTTCCTTTCGTGTTCCAGCAGAATAATGCAGAGAGATTGCAAGGCATGACATTGATCTTAAAAGTTTCATCAAAATAGCTCAAATAGTTCCACTAAAGTTAACATTTTATCGGCGGTGAATATATCGAAACCGAACTTAGCATAGTTGTTTCTTGATGTTGGTATTCGGAACGCGTGATAGTAGACGTCGGCGTCGCGACTGTGCCACCCGAAAGCGTCGTCGCGTTGGCAGAAGCGTCGAGACGCGACTGAAATCCAAACGGAAGCGTTAAGCTTAATATACGTATACATACGGCTACAGCCTATAGGTACGTATTGTGTTGCATGGATGAAGGCTTCTTGAACTATAGTTTGTTTATCGTATATTCAACTGTTGAATTTCAACACTCCATCAAGTAGACTGGGTCATGGGCGGATTTATTTATGCGCCTAATTAAATTAAAAATTAATATTCTTAAAATTTCAGCTCTTAATATTAGAGGTTCCTAATCGCGATTTTCTTTTTGATATTTAAATAATATGCAAAAAAATTACTTTAAAATTATGTACTCGATAAAGGATCAATGGACTAAAATGATCAGAACAGGTATGTTCTGGTCATTTATAAACGAGCTTTAAAATTTATAATTTTTCAGTTAATCTGCTCGTTTAAAAGTTAGTCAAGCTTAAATGAAATTTATAGATATTTTTTAGTTTTTCTTACTCTTTTTGCCAAACTATCGGATTTATTACAAAATGTCCTAGAGTAAAAAAATATTTGTTAATTTTAACCAAATATTAACCAGATTTTATGTTATTCACCTAACCTTATATTTAGTTTAAAACCAACTGTAATCTGTTAACTAATCAAATAAGTTGTTTGTAATTATAACAAACATTTTGTAGATTAAACAACAATAATTCAACCATAATTCTTGCAATTTTCAAAAAGGACCTTATTTTTACAAATCTTTTTGATCGCCCGGAGATTTTTTCGGGGGGAGCAGAAAATAATTCGGGATTTAAAAAGGTTTTGTGTATCTTATTTTGATCAATTTTTGCAGTCAAAATAAATGTTAAATTCTTACAAGTTTGCTTTGTGCTCGACATGACGCCAATATTTTGGTCAATAATATCGTAATACAGTCAAACTTAATTTAAAAAAAAAACACTTACAATTATTTATTCATTAATAATATTGATAAACTGTAATTATAGCCTTATAAATTCTAAACCAACCGTCGTTATCTAGAAAATACGTGTACGAATGATAATTAATACTTTATTAATGCAACAAACCATACACAAACAAATCATTTCAAGCAATATATATATATATTCAGAAAATAACGGGAATTGTTAAATTTCGCGGGTTCGGAGGGTCCGGTTGTCATAAAATTTTCTTTATTATGTTGATATACATGCCCCCGAAGTATGATAAAAACTTTAGCTGTTTTCATTGTTTACTTTGTCTGTGGCAGCCGCTAAGGTAAGACGTGTTTTTTGAGCTCGGCGATTTTTCGTTCGTTAAAAGAAATGGATCAAAGAATTTGTAACCAATTTTGCTTAAAAAATGAAATAAATTCTGTGAAATGTTAACAAAGGCCTATAGTGAGTCTGCTATAAGTAAAACAAGAGTTTACAAGTGGTATAAGAGTTTCCAAGATGGCCGTGAAGACGTTGAAGATGACGAACGCCCCGAACGCTGATGATGTTGGTGTATCGATTGGCTCATCCCATGAAATTTTTTCGAATGTTTTGGGTATGAAACGCGAGGCAGCAAAATTTGTTATAAAATTGTTAAATTTTGAACAAAATTTTTGGCCAAAAACAATACTGTAAGAGATCCTTAAAGGGCCGTCGTTTTGCAAGCATATATGACATTAAAAGCGTATCGCTGAAAGAACTAAAGGCTATCTCAAAGATCGAGTTTTAGAAGTGTTTCGAGTATTGGAAGAAGAGCTCGCTCATGTGCATAATATCCAATGGAGACTATTTTGAAAGCGACAACATTAATGTAGACGAATAAATAAATATTTGTTTCAAAAAACCAAAATTCCCGATATTTTCTGAACACACCTCGTATATATATTTTTAATGGTTTCAACATATAAAACTTATACTTTTATATGTTTATACAAAATTGTAGGAATTTTTACCTTTATATTGTTTATCACGCAAAACATTTTCTATGGTATATCGTAGGAAATATGGAACATATTGTGTCGCATCATAATTTGTTGCTAATTTTATTAAAAACATTTTCTGAATTGTATGATTAAATCAATTATATTCATCATCAATAAGATATTTTAATTAATAATAAATGTATTATTCAAAGAATTTAAATCGCATATTACTCATATTTATGTTTACGTAACTATTATTTTATCTACTCATATTGCATAATATTGTTTTTTCGTAAATAATGATAAACATTATAAATTCCCTGCCTAACAACGGGAATAATGAACTCATTATTGACGTTGTTAGGTATCAGTGATTGGCCGATTTTAATATTCTTTGTGATTTGAACCAATCGGATTTTAAATTGGAAAAAGGCAACTATAACATTTAAAATTGGTAAAAAGTAAGGTTAACCATTTAACAGAAGTCGGATTTTATTTATTTATTTTTAAAAATCATTTAATTTTTCACTTTTCGGAGTAGATAAAGTTTAGTATTACACTCGGAATTATGCGCATTATTCATTCGGATGATTTAAGTCTCTCGTCTGGCGGTTCGAGACGCAAACCTCATCCTCGTGGTTTTTTATTATTTTTTTTCCGAATATATAATAATTTATATGTAGTAGTATTATATCTGTTTTTAAAACTCCATAAAATTCCATAAAAGAATAGGAAATGTGTGCGTTATAAATACAACGATTTAAAAAAAGTTTTTTACAAGTTAACGCTAATTTGTTATTTCTGTGTAGTTTTGGGAAGCAATAAAGGTGATAACAAAAACGTTTAATAATTTGTTACGCATAAAGCTTAAATTCGGACATTGTCCTTACAAAATGCTCAAAACCAGTTTTGAGCAACGATAATTTTCCAAACCCAAAATTTTACTTTTATACGGCTATCGAGCATTACCAAATAAGCAGAACTAGTTCTTTGCATTTCTTAGTTTTGCACATTTTTGAATAACCAATACTAGTTCTACTCTCTTAAAATGAATTAGTCAAAAATAACTAATTATAAGTCATATTTGACTAATTGTCATAGCGAAAAAGCAGTCACTAATAATTAGTCAAATTCCACTGAATGAAATAGTTAAATTAGTAAATTTAAATTTAAAAAAAGTTTTGACCCAGCCTGGGATTGAACTCACGTCTGTCACTTGAGAAGCTTGTCAACCTATAGGTTATAACCTCATAACCAGTCGGCTGTCAATAAATACTGTTCATAATATTTTAAAGTTTAATATATTATTTGTGTTACTGTTTTGAGCTAAACTTTTTGCATCTTTATTTGTTTAACCATGGAGAGGTATATGCATTTAATTCAAATAATACTTTGTTGTTGGCCGTAAACGATTAAAGAAATTAGTTACTTTTAACTGTCAGAAATAGTCAAATATGGTGACTAATCTTAAATTAGTCAAACTTTAACTATTTACGTGGTAAAAAATAACTATTTAAAAGTGAAAACGACTATTTTATTAGTAAAAAATGCTGGTACTAATTCAAATAGTAGAATTTTGACTATTTAATTTTTAGAGAGTATGTATTTTGATTTTCTTCACTTTCCTTTCGTCGAGGTGTGCCTGACTCAGCCACTGATAAAACACAATATATATGTATTATATTATAGTGAATATTGTATAGAAATGCTCTACAAATATCAACATGCAGGGATTGGTCACACAAAACTGGTTTTACCACAGACCTACAAACTTGTTTGTAGGTCTGTGGGTTTTACACATATAGTTGTTGCAAAAATGGCGAATGCGCCGGGATTAATGGTTTGCAATTTTATTTTAAGTTCACCATTTGAAAGGAATCTGTACACAAGTGCATGTTGCAACATTAAGCGTGGTGTCTCTTTTAACTATACAGGGTGTCTCGAAAATAGTCTGCAATACTTATACAAGCGATTTGTAGGGCCATAAATAGGTAGAAAACTTTATATGAACAAAGGCCCATAAGGGACCTACAGCCTCTTAAACGGCCTGAAGATGTTTTATTATTATTATTTCTGAAACTGTTTCAGATAAAATAATGTATTTTTGTATATTAACTAAAAAAAAATATTTTTAATCGAAAATGGTGCACACAAAAAATTTGGGGCTAAAAATACAGCGTTTAATACACTCATAAAAACAAATTTTAAACTTTTTTGGTATTTTTAAATTCATCATAAAAGTTTAAATAAGTAAGTAAATTTCATTATTTTATCTCAAACCGTTTCGAAAATAATAATAATAATAATAAACCATCGTCAGGGGCGCCCCTTTAGGAGGTTAAGCTCCCTTAGCTCCATTTGCCGACCTATGTTTATAAGAAGATTTTTTCCTGTTTTTGTATTTAAAAACCACCTATAAAGTATTGCACATTTTTCATTTTGCAGTTTCATTTTAGCGTAAAACTAATAAACATAATAATTAAATGCATGTCTGTCCGGATTGACAAAAATGGCCTGCAACAGGTGTATAAAATACCTAAATATAGACCAAGGGGTTAGATCATAAAGTCGAAAATTTGTGTAAAACCATTAACAAATATTTTAGTATAAAGATCATAAATTTTTAAAATTTAAAATTCGCACCTTTGCACAGTAGTCCTACAAAAGCTGGCTAGTATCCAGAATATTGCTGTTTTTAAACGTATGTATACAAAGATCGTAGTTTAACATGCTTAAACCACACTTAAAATAAATGGGTAAATTTATAACGTTTCGTATCTCCAAAGTGGATAAACAAAACATTAGATTTCGCCGAAGATAAATTAGAAGTCCTGAAAGAGATTGTACACCCTAATTTAAAATTCTTTAGAGACACATAAAGCTCTATCTTTTTACGATACCTATAAACAGAAAGATTTATGTTATTTTCGACGTTTAAGTTCTTGCAAACTTTACTGTTTTTAATGGCACAATTTTAATTTGATTCAGAATTTTTCGTTGAATAAACAAAACGCGAAGAAATCTTAAACCTTGCGTTCAACAAAACTTCCGCCCCATTTCACAAAATTTACTTAATAAACTTTCCACAGAAGCGAAACAAAGTTGTTTTAGAAAAGTGTTTCTACTCCATATTAAACAAA